GTCCTTGGCAGTCTCAGCACTAAGAAATATGACTTTTGGTATGTGTAATAGTAACTGAAAGACTGCCAAATTTTGTGAAAATATACCCAATATATTGAGAGTTATAAGTATTAAATTTAACAGACTTTAAACGAGTACAAAAGGTCATATGACTCGGTTAAATTGAGAGGGTTAAACCATAGTGTGCATCACTGGTGGCACATGACAGCCAAAGCTTAAAGGGTAAAAACAGGATGTCGTGTAATACCGGTGGTGAACTCAAGAGAGAGTTCCCAATGCAGTCATTCTGTCATATAACATAAAGGCATAAAATTAGCAGTATCTAAGGCAGAGTTCACAATGAGGCCTTACGTTCCTGTTTCGTAATTGGAGAAATGACTTATGCTACAAACCCGTTAATACAATTAGTTTTTGGTGTGTAGACCTATCAGATTTCTTTAAAAGCGTACAATTGAATTATTATTGTTTTTTTTTTTCCTCATAACTACAGGGACCGAGTAGTGGCAGTTTTTGTACAGGGCCCAGCATGGCAGTTTAAAGGTTGGCCATGGGATGGAAATCCAGTTGAAATCTTTGCAAGAAGTGAGTGTTGGAGTACAGTATTTTTCATGGTTTTTAGAACTGAAATAATTGTTAAATAATTACCTGTACTGTCTTAAAAAAAAAAAAAATAAATGAAATTTTATTATACTGAAAACATAAGAAGCATCTGGCATAATTAGTTAAGCCTTTTTAGCTTTTGATCTAGATGATTTTAGTTAAAAATATTAATATTTTTATTTTACTTTAAATATTCTAATTAGTTTTGAGGTATTTGAGAATTCAACAGTTAACCTTGGTTAACTTACTTAGTTTATTTAGTTGTATATCAGTTGTTGAGTCTTATATTTGTTTGTAATTAGTAGTCTTGATCTTCATTTTTTTTTATATTAAAAGTGCAATCCACTCTTATTTATTTTGGGAACTTGGTAGAAAATAAAAATGATGCATAATTATAATAAATAAATATAGTAAAATATATGAACTTATAAATAAATAACGTACACGTAAAAAAATAGCAGTAGGTTGCTTCCCTCTGGTCAATGGTTCAAATTTATGAACAGTAACATGCTACCTGGGCTAAACACTGACAAACATATTGTGACAGGACTCCATAATTAGAAGGAGGAAGCCTGTGCTTTGGCCAGGGCAAAATGTTCGTCTAGTGTTTAACTATCACCATGGAACTGAAATAAAAAATGATAATAATAATTAAAGTTATTTGACACAGTGCATTGACCAAGCCAATCTAAATCAAATAGAATAATATTTGATGATAATAACTTTTCTCCCAAGTATTTTTTAGCTGGTAAAGGTTAGTTATAAAATTTTCTTTCATACAGTTTTAAATTGTACAACTGCTAGATTTATGGAGCATAAGAAAACTAGTTGGTCTAACATCATTTTGAAAATGGTCGAAATAATGAAATTATAATATTTTCATCAAGTTAACATTACTTTAAACAGATAATTTACTTCACTGATATTTTTTTTGAAATATTTTAGGCTTTGTATTTTAGAAAGTAGTATTTTCTAGAAAATGTTTTTCTTTTTCTGATATTGAGGGTTTTGTTAGACTTTCATTAAAAATTTCTTCAATAAATTTTAAATGAAAGCACATCTTGGACAATTAATAATATTTTTTAAAAGTATTATTTGGGAGTAAAAAAATGTATTTTTCATTTGTAATTAATCATAAAACTACAGTGTCATATGTTTGACTGAATTGAACAAAAAGAAGAGTGAAGTTCCATTAATGAACTATAATATTTTACAGTACGAGCATTCCATTTGAAATGGGATGAAATGAAGCTGGATGCTAATGTGGGCAAGTGGGCAGTGCACATTATACAGTTGAGTAAACAAAAGCGGCATTTAGATCGTGCTAATCTTCTGAAGTTTTGGGAAGTGTTGGACAGGTTAGTACAAACATGATAAAAACTGTAAAAGTTAGGATGTCAGGACTTCACACGACTTTATTCATGTACTTATCAATCTGTGATTTAACCATTTCTGGACTTGGGGATGCTTGTCACTGACATCCCTTGATTTTTGTTCCTTCTCACAATGGAAATACTTAACCAAATTGCACGAGACTGAGTGCGTAATTACATAGTTTACAAAAACAACAACATGTAATGATAATCAGTTTTTCTATCATTTGTTATGTTGAGAGACTGTCTTGAAAAAAGTATCAAAAGAGTACTTCATTCATTTTAGAATTTCATTCTTTGTTATTGTTATTAGATAGTTCAATTATATATATATATAATCAATTTACTGATATTCATTAACATGTTTCTTTTGATATTTAAATCTGTCAGTTGTAGTCGTCACCCCAAGACTATTATAAGCAAGACCTAACATCATTGTGACAGTTCAGGTTATATGGCAGCAATAATTCTTTGCCAATTTTAAATGTTCTGTACAATTTATAACTTCAAGTTCCAGATAAATGTGTATCTAATAAGTATAGTTTCCTTTCAGTAAATAAGTTATTTTACTTATCTAAATTGTTTAAATATGATAAAGTTAACAATGGTATTGAATAAATATGTATTTGAGTCATCGGAATATTGCCTACTTGTACTCTTTGAATCTAACTAGGCTCTAATACTTGATGTGTTGTCATAGGAGAAAATTTCCATAGCTTTCAAAGAAATATAATTAGTTTAACTCAAAAACATTTTCAGGAACAAGTGAAACATCCAAAGAAACTATTAAAAAAAATCCTAGATCTGTGATATGATCTTAAGTCTTCTTAACTTCCAACCAATTTCTGTTCTTCTCAGCAGGAGCTAATTTAATCATTCCCAAAAATTACTTTATTCACTTCACATTGACGTAAATAGTTAATACTCTGTTCAATGGTGTTTAGACTTTGACTGTAGCTATTTTCATAACAGTTTCTTTAGTGATTTCTCAGACCACATGCCGTGTGATCATAAAAGGGTGTGAACGAAATACTGTACTAACAAAATCAGTAAAAGAGAAGGAAAGTGATGTGAGAAAGTAATCCTCAAGGGATAATAGTTGCTTAAATATAAATCTATGCTTTGGAAAGGACAGACAAATTCTAAGTTTGAACATTTTTCTTTGTAAATTACACTGAATTAATGTTACAGAATGACAATATCAATTTCTAAATTTTTTTAAGTAAAATTATTATTGAAATAGTTGTAATTGTTATTTTTACTTACATTTTGAAATTTGATATGCAGGTCTGCACTTGACACCAGTCCCTATAAGGTTAAGCATGTCCACACGTAGTCCTTGTAATTGTAAACTACAGTACAACATTTTAGTTTTTTTAATATCATATATTATTATGAAGTTTTATAACAGCTTGTAAGCAGAATTTTGAATATTTTAATTATCTTTTTTTGCTTTTTTGTGATCCAAGTTGCTGAGGAAGTAAACCTCAAGTTTACTTTCCACTAGACAACACTAAAATCTGAGGTTTGATTCCCTGCTATGAACAGAGCACAGATAGGCAGTTAATAATAGTTCTGAAGTACTGTTATGAAATTTTACATTTCTCAAACATATATTACTAGCAAAAATTACAGATTTTTAAAAGAGACAAAATATCCCTTGGTTAGATCACACATGCATTTAATGCATAAGAGCATTTCAGGAGTAATTTTTTTTGTCTGCAAATAACTGTTTCAGGTCAGTATTGGGGATGAAGTAATGTTTATTGTTAAACACAAAGCCCTCAGACTTATGCTGAGCCACCATGGGGCCTCAAAAAATTAAATATTGTATAAAAAGTTTTAATTATTTAATTCAAATTCATTTTGTAAAGTTGACTGTGCTACTGAAGGGCTATGGTCTTGTATGTTCGTGTGATAAAGCTTTAAACTATGCATGTGTTGAAAGCAAATGGCCATTAGAATATGTGGCCAGTTAAAGTGAATTACATGTACTGTAATCAGTTATGCAGTGGTATAAAGATTTAAAAAATATCCCCTTATCCTACAGTTATGCATAGTTATTTTTTTAAGTGTGTACTATAATGTTTTTTTTTGCTTCTGAATTTAATAATTTTTAAGCTAACAAGTTATTTTCTCTAATTTCAGTTTCATGGTGAAACACAAACACCATCTTCGTTTCTGAAGACTTTAGAAGAGAAAAGGAGAGGACAGAATAAGATAGAACAGTTTGATAGAAATTATTAATGTGTTTTTGAGGAATAACAGACCAGTGGTGTGGTAAAGGAAAGTACTACATTTATACATGTCCAGTGGAGTTTTTAACACTTTGGGTGGAAAACCAAATTTTACATTACAATCTGACTGGATCACTGTAAATACACCACGAACATAAGAAATATGTTCATTGTTGTCTTCCTATTTCCTGTTAGCTTTTTATGGAAAGAACTGATGAAAGTGCTGTAAATACTTTATGTAATAAAGCAGTTGAACTTTATCATTTGTGTTGGTCAAACTTGCATTTTGACATTATTGCTACCGTTACCACTACTACCTTTTTTTTTTCTTTCATAACTGCGATAAAAACTTTTTCATGATTCTGAATAGGTTTATTTGTTGATTGGTTTAGTCACTGTTCTAAAACCTATTTGGAGAAATAGAGCATTTATGAAATTTGTCAAAAACATTTACTAAACACATCATGTTGATGGTAACACATAATATGAACCTAAAGCTACTATAATGGGGATTTGGAAAAGCAGCATCCTTCTATAATGTTTTGTCCCAGCTATTTAGTATTACAATAATTCCAAAAGATACTTACCTTCACTGACAATAGCTATTTCTCAATCTCCAGGGTTACACGCTTTGCCCATCTAAGCATTGAAAATGCTTGCTCCACTCAAATGCCTTTGGCAAATTCCAATTTGCAAATTTCTCCACCAACTTCAATGCACCCTCTATCTAGGTACTGTATATAAGCACCTCATTCAGATAATGTAATCACTTTGTTTCAACAAAGCATTTGGCACGGGTTTCTATAAATAGGGCTGTTGTGATTATTCACAATTTACATTGCGACTTTGAATGTGGTTGGCGTTACTACGGTTATATATTTGTTTATATTTAAAAATTACTTTATAACAAAAACTTAAAAAACGTACCGATGCGTATGAATTCCCGAGTTAATGTTTCTATTACAGAGGCCATTTAGACCTCTCCTCTTCCACCTCTGTTATCTGATATTTTGTTTCTCTCTCTATTGGGGATGTGGACTGGACAGGTTTGCATCTGTATGCCTTTCCTCCAATTCGGTTATTGCCCTGGTTTCTGATTATGCTTCGCTCCACTCCCTAACAAGTTATCTTGGTTGCACTATATTGGCCAGTTCAAATGTGGTTTTCCTCCCTCGGTATCTGCAGGTATGTCCTCCTCTACCTCTTCCACGTTGGCAGTCTCCAAGACAACTTCGATCACATATTCTCCACCCAGATGTTCGGAAACTCAGTCTTCATGCTTGGAAGTTAGGCTGTCCTTTGCCCAACATAAGGGTTTAACTTCCAAAGTTTCTCTGTATTTAACTAAATCTCTCCATGGGCCAACCACAGCCGTTTATCAACAGAAATGGAATACTTATCGTCAGTGGTGTTTTAAGAGGAATTTCAAACCCTCTTCATCCTAAAGTATCTACCATTTTATGACATGGGTATTTGAGAGGGGTCTTGCTTTGCTTACAGTTGCTTTATATAAGGCATCCTTATCCACTATTTTTTGGTATTCCAAATATTGGAAGGTTTTCTTTTTAATCCTCAGTACTATCAGGTCTACTCAAAATCATTCACATTCTTCGACCCAAATGATCTTGTCAATTACCAAATTGGGATTTTACAGTTGTTTTACATGCATTGTCTCATCCTCCCATTGAGCCCTTAGCTTTGTGTTCTTTGTTTCACCTTTCTCTTAACTCTCTCAATACAGGCTCAATAAGATTTTGAATGTAAGACACTAAAACTTTGTGTCATGCACACTAAAGGATACCCAGGGCAATAGGGTTAAATTGTACTTTTTGTTGTAACTGGCTTGTGAATGCTGTTGGTTTGAGTTGTTTGCAATTCCTGTGCTTCGGACTCTCTTATCATTCCACATTTGTCCTGCTTTACCTCAATAGGCCCTTTCTCTCCAAGACTCTGACAGCTAGGTAAGGGGAAAGGTCCTTATCACCAATCCATTTCTCACCTGTATGACCTCTCCAATCCTTACTCTTTGTTGTGTCCTGTTAGGATCCTCAAGTGTTATGTAGCTTGTACTAATTCATTTCGAGGTAGTAGGAATTGATTGTTCATTCATTGGGATCCTTCTTTTTCCCGTTACTTATCTCCCACTACCGTAAGGAGGTGGCTTCGTAAATTGATTCACATGGCTTATAATGGATTATCCTTACAGGAGAGGAATCTTTAGCGTGTCACATCTCATTAGATTAGTTATATTTTTGTCAATAGCTGTCTGGTTGAATTGCCACTGGAAGACATTGTGTGGTCTGGTATGTGGATTATTCCTAATACTTTCCTATCTCATTACTTATATGGTCTGGCAGTTTCCTCTTCTGATGGTTTTTGACTAACCCCTGTAACTATTTTGACCACTTCTGTTAGGTTTTAGCAGGGGTAAGTATTTTCATCAGTCATATACTTCTTTTTTTTTTTCCAGGGTTCCTTTATTTTTTCACTGGATCCCACTCTGTGGTGAGTGTTGCCCAGGCAGTTATGCTTTTTCTTTTTAATTCTGCACTAGCAATCACTTCAGGTTGCAACAGCCTATGTCAAAATGGGGTGTTCTATAAGACCATCTAGGTGCCTACTGGATTGTATTACCTTATTATTGTGGGCTGCCACTCGTGGACTATCATGAGTTAATCTACAGGGGATCCTGCCAATCTTCAGACTGAATAAATCGGAATCGGTTTGCTTTTAAAAATATAAGGAACTTGGTTCACCGTTTGCACAGTTTCCAGAGCACTGTTCCTCAGGGCTCCTCAACATGTATTACCCCCATCCCCAGATCCTCTACTGGCGGAGCTTGGAATTCCTTACCACCCCAGTTTCCAGAGGCTTTTCCTCCAGTGTGTTCTTCCACTCTTGGAGAAGAAGGTGAGGTTGGGGTCCCTCCTACACTGGTCCCAGGATGTTTTTCCCAGATGTCAGTAGGAGGAGCACCAACCTCTGTGGGAGCTTACTCATAATTATGGTTCAGATTTGACACTAAGCCATCCAGTTGGGGGGTGCTTGGCCCTTCTCTTTGATCAATGTTGGTTTTCTATATTGTTCCACTATCTCCTCATAATTTCAAACATGAAGTGGTCCCATCCTAAGTCCTTGGTTGAGCACAGGTTCCATGTTCTCTCCATAATTCCAGGGGCAAGCAGAATATTTCTTGCCCACTTGATTTGGGAGTGAGGATGAATGTTCATAATTTCAGACTGGATGAGTTCTGTTCCTTTGGATGAGTATGGCCTAGGGTGGTATGTTTTGGAATTCTTCAGGTGGAGGAGAAAGTTTGTCTACTTCAGTGTTGCTTACTTTCTCATCGTGATTCCGGTGGTGGGAAACGCATCACTTTATGACTAAAGGTTGGGATCCAATCAAAAGTATATATTAGGTCATCAAGAAATTAATGTTGCATTTTGGAACACTTTTATCCCCCCTAAAACGTACATCACGTATACTAGTTAAATAAACCATCTAAACATCACGTTAATGTAGCCTATATACTGTGTAAAGTTTAGTATACTCTAATCCCTTATAGTGATGACACACGACGAGACACACATTCGACATGTAATGCTGTTTGAATACAAGAAGGGACACAACACCTCTGTAGCCACAAAGAATATCAGATAAGTTTATGGAAATGTTTTGAATGTTCGTAAGTATCAATGATGGTTCAGCAAATTTCGTTCAGGTGACTTTAGCTTAAAAACTGTGATGGAAGAGGCCGACATGTTGGAATTGATATTGATGCTCTGAAGTGCTTGTTGAGTCTCACCCAAGGCAACACACTCGCAAAACGGCCCTGAAATTGTACGTCTCTCATGAAACAATACATAAAAATCTAAGGAATAGGGGAAAACTCCTTAAAGAAGGTGATTGGGTGCCTCACGAACTCTCCGATGATCATTTCCAACATGTGCATAATGCGCGAGAACCATTTTTGGACAGAATTGTCACCAGTGATGAAAAATAGATTCTCTGTGCAAATATTAAATGCCCAAAACAATGGTTGAGTCCTAAACAAAAACCACTTCTGACCCCAAAACCTGGACACCATCTGCAGAAATTGATGCTTTGCATTTGGTGAGACATCAAAAGAGTGGTTCACCCACTCTTGTACCATCTTTATCTTGGTACACTTCTGTTCTATACAGATGCTTTCTGTATGGTTCATGCCTGCACCGGTCCCTCCACCGTCTCAATGTGGAATTCTAGCTATAGTGTCAGCGGAGGTATGTTTTGGAAGTTAACATTTTCCTAAACTGAAAATGTATTTCCAATAATACTTACCTCTGCTGACACTCTCCCCACTAAAAGCTGGTTTATATTTCAAAAAAAGTGATTACATTATCTGAATAATGTGCTTATATACAGTACCTATATATACACCTGGAAAAAAGTTAAGCACCCCCGTGTTTTTTT